TTACGTTACCTTTAGCAATCGACACTGTAGTAGTAGTAGTAGTAGTAGTAGTAGTAGTAGTAGGGGTTCGCCAACAGTAACGTAATTCTCGATCCGATAGGAATAGGTCCTAGATTTGACAGTTATCTATAATCATATCTTGCTTTCCTGCTGCATGACGCCCTCAGGCGACTAGAATACCTCCGATGCTTCCAGGGCCTACCTTCAATCCTAAAATATTGGCCTAATCACCCCATACTAGATTCACTGAGAAACTGGGATCCCCTCTCAAATGAAGCCCCTGATTGAGATGGCTTTGCCTGAATCTCTTTTCGTCTAACGCCTCTCCATCTTACTGGCACACCTGGATTACACAGGGAAGAGCTCCAATGAGGTTGTAGCTATAGTATCAGCTATATTCGGTGAAGAAAACAAGAATCGTTATCGAGAAATTTGTATTGGGATGGTAGAATCAAAGATGGGAACAAGACAGATCTCTTGCGTGGACGGCAGCCATACTTAAACCAACTATAACTAATCAAAAATACGAATGGCACCTGCCAATGGCTATTTCAAATTCGATTCAGCTCTCAAAGACACAGATGGTCAGAGTGACTTATAGAATTCGAAGATCCGTCAGGATTATTACACTACCCATTAAATAGAAACCCCAGATTAGAAATATTTCCTAACGGAAGGTAGAACATCATCGTCTCTTCCTAACCTTCGATCAGAGGCTCCAAACACATTTCCGGGCGGAGATCGTGGAGCTGGTTCATCATTGAAGGCAGCAGGGGAAGAAAGGAAAAATAAATCAAACGTTAATACAGAGAAGGCTGGCGAATTCAAATAAATAACTACTATTAACCACGTGTCCGACCTTCTTGCAGCAATCAATAAAATTCAAATTCCCAGCTCACATAGCTAAATAGTAAAACCTCAGGGAAATAAAGACCGCTCCTACAGATTCTTCAATAGCTGGCGATCTCTCACCATTCGTAGCCTCTTGAATAGATATAGGAACTGCGAGGCGATATAGTAGGAGGCCGCCTCAATACAAGTCTCTCTTCTCAGCAAGATGCAATCACGAGTGCTACAGCATATCTAATCTGTAAATCTAAGGAACCTAGCAACCAAGCACCAGTGCTTCGGCAAATACTATGCTTGAAACTCTTCAGGGCCCTGTCTCCGTAGCTACTGCAACCTCAAATGTATGCTCAAGCCCGAGTTCTAGGACCTTATGGGTAAGCTCGATGCACAAAAACATCAATTATCTTAGCGCCTGTTTTGCAGCAATCTCTTTCAAGATTCAAATGGCGTCCTTTCGCTATTCAAGAACTTTCTTGTCAATAAGCGGTACTATAAGAGGAGAACTGGCAAGATGGTACTTAAAGCCATGCAAGCTCAGGTGAGATAGAGACACTAAGATCGAGAGCTAGTTGAATGTCCAGTGTCCCACAGGACTGAATCATAGGAGGGAAGAATCAGCTAGTCGGGCGGCCTAGATCTCCTGTAATCTAACTTTAACCATTCGAATGCTCAGCCAGACTATACCGAAAACCTCCAGGAAATATACATAGCTGATAAATCTCAAGCCCAGTTAAACCAACTTGCATGCCTAAATGAAAACTGAAACGAGAGCTAACTGGCTATGGAGTTGAATAAATGCAGCGCCGTCTAGTTGCCACCGATTGATAAACCTATCACACTAGATGCAGCAAGCATTTAGGAATCCTAAGTGCTGATAGAGGTGGTGCTGATTACCCAAGCATGTAGGTAAGATATAGATTAGCTCATCACCAAGGCCAAGCTTGTCCCACAGGACGATTGTCAGATTGATGCCTGGGCTAGTCAACTATCACGATTCTTGCAGGAGCTCTGTGAAAAATGGAGAAACATAGTGAAGACAAGAAGGTACAAGGTCCTCCAGACTATTCTCACTCGCTATCTCAGCCAATTGTTGAGTGGTAAGTAAGTCAGCATTGAGGAGCTCTTCACTAATGAAGAGCGGCTAGAGCTGAACAAGAAGGATATGATTGTAAAGGTCAACATCAAATTCAATAAGAAAACCAAGAGAGCCCCAAGAGTATCTGTAGAAGCACTCCTTGCTGAACTGAAAGGTGTGTGTGAGGAAATTCACCAGTGTGTTTAAATCGGTGATCGCCTTGCAGTTTTCCTGAGCATTGACTTTACAAAAACTGATGTTGTGCCGGCACTATGCATGGAACTGCTTGTAATGAATCACCATGCGGAAGCGCAGCAATCAAAGGCACTGAAAATCCCTGCGAGACAAATGAAAATGAAGAAACCCCTACACAAGCTCTCAAAGTATGTATTAGAGCTTAGGCAGTATCAGGCACTCATGGCCAACTTAGAACTGAAGTTAAACCAGGTGCTAAAGCCATGCAAGCTCAGGAGGGTAAGGCTACTGGACTTTATTAACAAGAATACTGAACTACCTGAATCCCTCTGGAAGTTCAGGGGTGCCCTGAATATAGATAACAGTGTGAAAGCCACTGCGCTGCTGGGCTAATCCAATATAGCAGACATCTTGAACTCTGCAGCCTATGAACTGGAAACAGATACTGGGACCATTATCATCTATGACGAGACTCTAAACATTGAGTTCAAGCCTGAAGAATCTCAATGCAAATACTGGAATGGACCAACCAATAATCTTAATGAAGTAGGGGATAAACATCTGGGCGGGTTTGAGAACAAGAAACTAGACTGCTGAATTATCCAAAGGGGAGCGTTTGTACCAAGATCAGCATAGGAATGATTTTTTACACACTTGAGCAGGAGTATATGAGCTAGATTTACAGTAAAAGGACTTGATGCATAAGGCGAATCCTGCTAGAATAGCTTTTCTGGGCCCATCAAGCAACACAGATGATTTAGAGTAACTTAATTTCGACAATAATAGCTTAACTGAAATTATTCCAGGGTCTAAAGTATGAGTTCTACTATCAAGGTTAAGTTCCTTGCACTCAGATTGTGCACCTACAGATAATTGCTTCAAACCTAACAATGAGAAGCAAGGAGTGTTTCTACAGTAAATTGTTTAATGGATGAGCATTGGTCTTGCTATAGCAGCATGCAGGGATTATAAGCTGCCATTGATTCTGTCTCACTCCTAGTCTCATCAATAATTGGACTTGGCAGGACTATACTGCCATGATTGGTTACAGTCTATTGCAGCAATTTATGCAGCAATGAGTCAAAGATTCGACAGTTTCACCAAAATGAAGAGGAAAAAGTAAGAGAAAACTAGATGGACTCAAACTGATAGGAGCAAATAGATTAGAAGAAGTAATAAGCTAAATGATTACTAGGAAGAAAACTCATAGATTAATTAAGAAATGAGATATAGATTTATCAGTACTAAAGCCAGCTTGCTATATTTCAGATATTGAACTGTGCTTGTCTTATACTCTAGTCGAGCATCTAGTAGCTTTGGCTTTGATTCATTGAGCTAATTGATCCCGCCTCTATAGGATCTCTCATCAGCACAGTATCATTATTGATATCAGTCGACTCTTTCTTCAGTCTCTTCACCTCCTGCAGGTAGCTATACTTATCTTGCTTGAATAGCTGCTCCTCATCCTTGATCTCCTCTCGCTCAAGTTGGCTCCTCCTTCGTTTCGCTGAATCCTTTAGCATGGAGCATGCTTTACCTTTACCTATATGCATTGGTTACATGAATACACTAAATGATACCTCCAAGATTTATACACTTTTCAAATGCAGCAGCGAATTCAGGTCTAATGGTAACTTGCAGATTCTCCCGTTTTATCTGCTTAGTCATTCGCTCACTGAGGGCCTCATCAATCATCTACTACATCTACTCCTGCTCAAGTGTATAAAAAATGTCGCAGAGCCACTATCTATCTATTCGATCCCAGTCGCGCTCATCAGGGAGATAAGTTAGCATAACCTAATTCAGTTTAGCGATTTGCAAGAAATGTTTCGTGGTTAAGGTTTCTATGTGCGGCACCGAGGAGATCTTGACGGCGTCCCTTCTTACATACTACAGGAATAGGATGAATGATATATAATCTCCCTACATTTTTTAAGCCCTGCACTATCTAGGCCAGGAAGAATGCATTCATTGATCTTTGAGGGGGTAAACATGCGGTGCAATCCTAGCTTATGAAATAAGCTGAGGTCCCAT